TAAAACAAGAACTTATAGAAACTCATAAAATTATTAAGAGCCTCTAAATCTATCGTCCGATACAACCGTCAGATAAGTTTAATCCCCCACAAAAGTACAACTATCAAACCTAATCCAACGGCGACACCCCTCCGAAAAAAAATCTATTAACATTTAATAAAATCATGACCTAAATAACGTTTCTTACCATTTCAATTTTACGGACGAAAGGGTGGTGGGTGCTCCTTCGCCATGCGTCTTTGTAAAAGGCCCCCAACTCCTCGCTACCCTGCCCCCTACCGCCCATTCCTCCCCGTTTCACCATTGTCGCATGGCACACAAGCTTTCAGAGTAATGAAGAGCATTTTCGTCCGATTCTGAACACAATAGCCTCTTTAATACTAGGTAGAGAGGAAACTTCTTTGTTACCGAGAGTATTGTACCTACCATGTGTGTTTGGTGAATGCTTTGTTTTTTGTTATGTTTGTTCGTATGATTGTTACTGACAAAGCCGTTATATATGATCTGTCTAATGTTAGGTGTTTGATGGCCTAAATTTTAAGGTGCTGTTGTCGGGTTCGCTGGGAAACATGAAAGGCTGTGATTCCCGATCAATACTTACTTATTTTCTTTCTTTGTTGGAAAACGGAGGTTGTATTGCCTTTAAAAGATAGGTATACAATACTAGTTATCCTGCCAATAACCTAGATATTATATTCCATAAGAGCCTCCGCTTTGATAGCTGAAAAGCTTGTATTTTGTCGTCGCTACAAAGGGAACCAACAACACAATCATATTTCTTTCAATGGAAAAATATGTTGAAAGAGGAAATCGATAAATATGATCTGTTACACGATAAAATGACAATGTTACTGCTTAAGTGCAAACACGTGATACTGTTCCAGAAAATGAGAGAAAATTGCGCGTATTCCTAGAAGGAGCTCCAAACAGTTTTATTCAAAGCCACTTCTAGGAAAAAATACATCAAAAGATTTACAAGTTAGTAAGAAAAAATCGATTAAGAAATAGATTATTTTTAATGTTACACATTTACAACGTGTCACTTCCAATTAAAAACAAATAACTAATAACCATTTATACCTAATTCCACAACTGAATACCGGACAATCATTGTTCAGTGTTGCCATCCCATGCCTTTGTTTTCCCGTAACGAACGGGCGCTGTAGGAAATAATTATTGTGTAGTGGCAACACTTTAGTAGTATCGACACGTGCGTATTGTTGCTACGATTGTTAGTGTTGCCGTTAATTAAGAATAAATAAATACATGCAGGGTTGGCAGAGCGAAAAATGTGGGGAGTCGAATTGTATGGCAAGGATGTCGTTTATACCATGTTATATGAACGGTTTTTTAGTTGTAAAGTTTACTGAACGTATTTTTGTATTTTTCTGTGTTTTAATTACTTTATTTTACATTACAATAGTAAGTCTTATATACAGGTGTTCATATGTATGTATATCGATGTTAATATAATTACATCATCGCTTTTTAAAAGAATTTATTCAACACCATTTATTTTATTAGGCTCAATTTTTAATTATTTGCTTTTCTTTAGGTTCTATTTAAGATTACCTTTTGCGATATTTTTAAATTTACAGTCGTCGGTTTTTAGTAATCTGTTCATAATTCCAAATACTCTTTATATAACAGATCTTCTGTTTATGACAAAAAACAAAAACTTACGGAATAAAACCTTCTTTCTGAAATCAAGATATTTGCAAACACTAAAACCTCTTTAAAAAACTTTCACGACAGCTTTAAACGACAGAAAGCACATAGTAGCTATTGACATTATAATTTGCATTGTCTTAAAAACAATATTCAAGAAAAAATCTTCGACTCAACAGCTCTAGAACACAAAGTGCACAGTGTTGCGTTTGTAAAGAAATAGTGGCACTTGTGTGCACAAAATTATAGTGACAGCCGTGCCCAGTGGGCTGTTGGAAAGCCGATGTTGACAAAAGTATTTGTACTGTGTTGTAAAGTTTGTTTTTCTTTTGTTTTATGCAAATGAATAATGCAATAGTAATTAGCTAATATTGAATGTGCTGCGTTCAAAACTGGTAGGCAATTGAATAAATAAGCCGTGTCTGGCTTTGTGTTAAAACACTGTTACACGGGAAATAATGTCGCGTGTTGTTTGTTTTATAATAATGTTAAGGTTGTTTTTTATTCGCTTTATTGTTGGATTGTCCTTTTTTAGGTGAAAAATTGTAATAGTCGATTTAATTGTTTCTTTTTATCTCAGTATTTTATTCATTCACTTCAATTTTGCTGTACAGTTTACACTATAATATACCTACCTAAATAATTAAGTATGAAAAGCAAGTTTTTTTTCAAAATGTCCTTGGGTTTAGTTTGTTACAAATTTCGTTTTAATTTGAAAATCGAAAATGTAATAATCAACTGTTAACAGCCATTAGATAAGTTTACTTACGTAAACAAAAAAACCGATCTAATCCCTCTTTAACACCAAATACGTTCTAAATAACCTCGAATCATTAATAAACGAGTATTCAATAATTAAATTACATAACAGGTCGCGTAATTACCAACGCCCACTGGACCAGACGAACTTTTCCAACTAACTATAGAACTTGTGAAAACCTATTTGATTCGAGCGCAGACAATAGTTGCAATGCCCGGTCACAATCGAACAGTATCAATCATTGTTCTCAGTGCTTTGTCTGAAATCCAGTTAATCGACCTTTGCCAATTTAATTTATATTTAGATCGATAGCTTTGATGTAAAACTGCATGAATGATTAATTATAATCGCGTTTATTTACGATTATTTCGCGACGATTACGTGAGCTGTTAAAAGTTTAGAGTTGTTTGCTTTTTGTATTTTTATGTAATAGGTATTGAGTGTTTAGTAAAATACGCGACTATGAGTCATATGGGTCGCAATCCTTTTTATTTTTTTCTATTTCTGTTTATTGTAACTATGTATTTTTCGCATCTAGTTATAGGTACAGATTTAGAAAAATTAAAACAGCCGCATCGTATAATACACTTAACTAATTTGTACTACTTATGGGCTACAGAGTAAATTTTTTGTAGAAAATGAGGAGGATTTTTCTCGAACAATCGGGAAAACCGTCAACGTAATTTTAATAGAACATTAGTCTTTTATACCATTGTCGTTACTAAGCACACGATCCTATCATCCGCGGCAACAAAAGATACCAACCCACCCCAAAGTATCGACATAATAATGAGGAACCGGGAAAAACTTCTGTTGTGGAATGAAAAGCGCAAATTCGTCATTAGGCGGCGCTTTCCGCCATTGTTGTTCCTATCTCTTTTACTCTGAGTAACATTTACCCGCGTGCGAGCGAGACTACCGCTGGTCCTCGGAGCCGGATTGTTCCTTTCTATGTTAGCGACATTGTTTTCGCTTTTATACCCGTCTGAATTGGGATTGTCTTGTCTGTTTGAATGGACGATGGCGCCCCTCCACGGTGGATGAATACAACCTTCTATAAATGGGGGGAGACAAAGGGTTGGTCTCTTGAATCGCGCTGGGAGACAGGTCGTTGGTGCCTTCGATTATATTGTATCGATTCAATACTATTGTTTCACCAATGAAGGATGGTTAGGGCAAATTACTTTTCTGTTTTTGTTCAGTGTTTTTGTAGTTTATGGCAGTTATTAACGATATTATTGTATAATGGGATGCTTAATAAGGAGTTTGTGACTATTTTTGGTTGTGAATTAGATGTGGTCACGTAACTGATTATGTTGTGCGCCTGTTTTGTGACGTTTGTGTGAGTAATTGTGGATTTGCACGACAATAGTTAAATTATTTATTGGCATGGAACATCAATGTGATATGGCCACTGAGTTTTGTTGTGACCGGTCGTAAGGTTTTCTTACAGTTGTTCTTTATTTGATTCGATAATGAGGAGACATTTAACAAGCAATTAAATAACATTTTTCTGCACACGTTTTAATGGTTTTTTTAAACACGCATTTGACATGCCAACGACAAGCCAAACAAAACAAACTAACCAAAAGTTAAATTACTTAACTAACTACACTATGTTCATGAATAAGTCCAGTAAATATGATAGAAAGTATTAAATAAACAAAATAATAAAATACTTATGTTTGTTTGTTTGTTTTAACGTGCTAATGTCAGAAACTGCTGGTTTGAATTTAAACAGTCTCTTTGCCTATTTATCAAAGACTGTTATAAAACGCACGCTATAGCTAGTATAGGTAAAATAAATGGTCAAAAAACATTTGAAAACGAACAAAGGATTATTATGTTCAAACTACGTTTGAAAAAGAGCGCTAATGTCTATTTTACACCCTCTTTTGTGAGTTACGCAATAACAACCTGAAGTTTCAGTTATTTGGTAATTATTTGTGCATCTGAGTGCGAAATATTATGAAATTATACATTTTTAAAGTTATTTTTAAGTGAGTGTGAAAATGTTGGTTAGCATAGTGTGAATGGTTTCTTTTATGATAGAAAAATACTAGTTAGATAGTTATTAGCTTTGTTAATTTTTTTTGGAATAATTTGAAATCAACCAATCAAACATTTTGTAGGTACTAAATAGGTACCTAACCTATTAAGAAAAAAAATTGACAATAGTTTTCAATACTATCAGAGATAATTATGGGTTTTTAAACATGACCAAATACTGAAATTTTGTTAGTAGATAGAGTTCTGAATCATCATCATCATCACCATCATCGGCTGATGATGATGATGTTTACGTCTACTGCTGGACATAGGCGTCTCCAATTGCACGCCACTGAGCTCGCCGTTGCCAGCCACCCTGCGTATATCGTCAGTCTACCTAGCTGGAGGCGCGCGCTTATTAGACGTGGTCTAGTAAACCTAGTGTAACTACATCTACCCCAACGGTCATCGGTTCTTCGACAAATGTGACCTGCCCATTGCCACTTCAGTCTGCTAATCCTTTATGATCACAACCGTTCTATATATCAGAATCTAATTCTTCATACCATCTTTATCTCCTCAGGTGCCGAATGGAAGCTTCTCTCGGAAGACGAGAAGCGGCCCTTCATTGACGAAGCGAAGCGTATCAGAGCTATGCACATGAAGGAACATCCTGACTACAAGTACAGGCCGAGAAGGAAGCCGAAGACCTTGAGGAAGGAGGGGTATCCTTACTCCATACCGTACCCTAGCGTGCCCATGGATGCGCTTAGAGCTGGTAAGTCAGCACTTCTTTCTATGACAGCTTTAATTATAATGTTTTCGGCTTACTCACGTAATAATTTGACGAGATACTCGACTATTTTCAAGCCATGCTAGAGACCCATATTCATGAGCAGCATTCCGCGACACGCGGCGCGACGACTGTCGCGCTGCTATTCAGAGAGGACAGCTTTGATTTTTTTGAGATTTATAATTTTATTAAACTCGCTACTCTCGCGCGGTTTCACCCACTGCTCTACTCCTACAGATCGTAGCGTGATGTTTAGGTATAACCTATAGCCTTCCTCGATAAATGGACTAACAAACAAAAAAAGAATTGTTCAATTTAAACCAGTAGTTCCGGAGATTAGTGCATGCAAACAAACAAAGAAACTCTTCAGCTTTATAATATTGGTATAGATTTGCGTGATTCTATTTTTAAATGGGGATTTCAAGTTTATACAGCACAGCAGTTTAGACATTTGATTGGAAAAACAACATTAAAGAAAGAAACGATATCTAGTATCAATCAATGCATCAAAACTGAACCCTACTGTCTTACTATTATGTCTCGAATTACCACGAATTGATAGGTTAAATAACTAAAAATACTGCGTATTTTAAAGTTATTATAAACATGATATATATATACTTGTATTGATAGCAAACTGACTATTACGACTGGATATCGAACAAACACAGGGCTTTTGACCTTTCTGATAAAAAATATTACATTATCTTAAACTATAGCTTGCCATGCTAGAAGAATGTGCCAAAGAAAATCCTGTATTGTAGGTAAGACCCATAGTTCCTCAGTTTTGGTGGACGATACTATGAAGACTGCTTAGTCACGGGAACAAAGAATAAGTCGAAAAAGCCATAAGTACTACTTTTAAGATGACACAACATCGGGACTTGAAAAGCGTTTTTGTGAAGCACTAGTGACTAGGAGTCCTATTATCTAGGATAGTCAACAATTGCATTTTTTTATTAAACCCATTCTAAATTCGTGGTATAGCACAAGGTTTGCGATGAAACATCTTACATTCTTTGTAGGGTACCGTTCCAGGAAATAGAAAGACGCTTAGATTCTATAAGTACTAAATACATAGTATTAAGTTCGGTTCGGTGCTGGGACTTTCGTTGAAATTTGATCGACACCAATATCTCATTGGTGATTACGCTTTTGCCCGCGACTCCGTTCGCATGGAAATAGTGACTTCCTGCAGATTTTTGGTATAAAACTATTCCATGTCCTTTCTCGAGTTCCAAACTATGTCTGTACCAAATTTTACAGAAATCGGTTCAAAAGTTTAGGCTTGAAGAAAAGACAGATAGACAGACAGAGTTACTTACGCATTTATAATATTAGTTTGGATTTTGATAAAATGAGGTGACTGATCAGGTGGAGGTAAGCAATTAGCGCCGCCCATGGACACTGTCAATACAAGAGTAGTAGTTGCAAGTGCATCGCCAGCCTCCTAGGGATCGGGATTCGAGGATTGCGGGAAGTGGGAATAGGGTGAAAGGGCAATGGATCTCATTCACTTAGTGCAACACAATGCAAGCGTTGTTTTGCGACGGTTTTCTGTGATGCTATGGTAGCCTGCCCATTGGTACCGAAGCATGGCTCCGACAATAAAGTTTAGTATAAATCCAAAAGGACATGGCCAACTTTTGTATGGGCGTTTGCATAGTTATTGAATTCAATGTACATCAATGATTTTTGGTGTTTACATTCGTGAATATTATTAAATTAAATTGCAAAAAATAAAACACGTGAAGAACTCGTAATTATAACAAACAAGACGAAAATAGTTTCACTAAACCTTTAGTCAGATTACTGGCCATAAGTGCACCAAATAAGATTTTGCTTTTAAAAACCATGGCGTTTTAATTATTTTTTTATTTATTTATAAAATAAAACAAAATAATATGTATAAAGAATATAGATTTATTTATTAAGGAGAATAAATAAAATAAAACTACGTAATAATTCACTTTTATATTTTTATTATAAAGTGTATTTTATTATGTTTGTATATGGAATGTACGTTTCTTTAATATATGCTCTGTATAATTGGGTAATAATATGGTAGTACTTTCCATTTGAAGCGGCCTGCTTAAAACAGGTGGTAATGGTGGTGGCTCTGGTGGGCTAACCACTTGAATATAAGAGGCTACTGCATTGTTGTCAGAACCCAATTCCTGCAAGTTTCGTGATAAGTCCTGCACTGTCTGTCTATTTGCCCGCATACAGCACACATGACAAACATAGTTGATTCTTGAGGTCTGAAAATAAACCCCAGTTAGAATAAACACATGTTTTCAAGTTTTATGTTATTGTACAGTGAGAAGTATTATGTTACCACATGCCTATTTTAAAGAAGTCTATGCAAACATGGAAAATACATAAAGATAGATATTATAATCACACATACCTACTATGAGTACTTTTTTTATAGATTAATATAGATAAATACAAGTACATATATAAAACAATGAATAAAAAACAAAATGCTTACCACATTAATAGTATTTTGCGATATTAGGCCAGCTAGCAATAGAGAGTCCATACTGACATATTGGTGTCTTATTTTTCGAACCGATTTTCCACAACCAAGGCAAGCCATGTTATGCCCCAGTAGTTCTCATGTTCACCAGCTTCAGTATTCAATAATAAGAAGCGTGATTGACAAATGAATGGCCCCAGAGGCAACTAAAAAAAAGATGCACTATTTAAAATCGCATACCATGATAAAACATAAAAAAACAGACTAAGTATTATATATTCCGACTTCATACCTGGGTTTGAGCTGGTTAACCAACGTGAAAGTTTTGTTTGATGGTGTGCAGAAAGCGAGGATATAAGGCGCCTCTGCAGCCTTTGTACGCCTATTCCGCAGTTGATGCACCTCATCGTAATCCACAAAACAAATCCAAAACGCAAAACAGTTACCCCAGTATTATTAGCAAGGTTAACAAAAACACGCTGTCAAAAGTGCCAAACACGTTCCGTTTCGTTTAAGTTTTTTTTTTGATGAATTGGATAAAAATAAAACATAACATTATTATAATATGAGTATATTTTAAAATGCAACTAAAACCAATGAATACAGTTTCGTATGAATAAAATGTTCCTATTGTAATGCATTTGTCGATCATATCACACGTTTTCTACGAGTGTAGTTTAAGACACGTGGTTTGGAATTGGAACGTCTTTTTATTTATCTTTCTCTATGGACTATTATGGCTAAACTTGACAAACGAACTTGATTTTGTTGCATTACTTTTACATTTTTTTAATAATAATTGTCAGGTCTGGAGAGGCTAAAAACTACGTAATAATTCATATTTCTATTTGTATTTTACAGTGTATTAATTTTTTTCGTGTACGTGGAATGTACTTTTTTGGCCATGTCCTTTAGTATAGTGTTGTGTTGGCCCGGAGGGTAAGGAGCCCGCTTCACATGCATGAAGATGTGGGTTCGAAACCTGGCAAGTACCAATGTGACTTTTTCCGAGTTATATGTACTTTCTATGGTTATTTAGACACCACTCTCATACGGTGAAGGTAAACATCGTGGGGAAACCTGGACTTATAATTTCTAATTATAAGTTTGAGATCGCCAACCCGCATTGATTAATGCTCTAACCTTCTCCGTATGCGAAGAGGCCTTTGCTTAGCAGTGGGCACTAAAAGGCTGATGACAATGATGATAAATCCAACGAACAAAGCAGTTACTACACAATAATAACATAAAATTTTTACGAAAAAACATCGTGTGATCACTCATAAACACAACATTGTCGCTGATTACCGCTAATCGCTGTTGTCCAACAAAACTTGTCGGTGAAAAGCTTTCATTATGGTTTATAAAAACCTTTGTTTATTGCATTTTATTGTTCTGCCGATGGACGGACGGCACGATTGTATTCCATATCGAAAAGACCAATAAAATTCGGTTAGTTTGTACTCATGTTTGGTCTGAGAAGTGGTCACAAAAGGTGTTTTGTAAAGTAATTATATCTTTTCTCATGATATAGGTATTCCCAAAACTATTTCCTGGATACTATTAAATCTTTTTTTGAAGTCACTGCTGCTCCCATCGGTACAATAACAATGACCTATGTAGCTCTAGCGTATTACACAGCTTAGAGAAATAAAAAAGAACAGAAAAACCGTGCAATTTCTTTCATATATCACCTTTTTTGTGAGAGGAATATCATCAAAGATTTTCAGACTCTTACTGACTAAAAACCCCCTCGTTCCTTCTCCTGAGCAGAGGCCGAGGCCACGGTGTCTCATTGCGCTTATCCCGCAACTCCGGCGAAGATCAATTAAAGGCATAGTTTCACCATTACTATAGCAAATAATTGTAGTTTTAATAACAGTCCGTTCACTATTTCATTATCAAATTGTTGGCACCAAATAAAAACAAAAAAATGTTCGTCCATCATCACCTCGACAGTTACGCAGTCATCAAACTAAATCAGTCAAAACAGTCGTTCCGCGTCAGTCCACAATCCAATATCGTATTCCAATACATTTTTTCAAACCGAAACAATTCTGTTATGTAGTGAATGTTATAAAAGTTTCTCTACAAATAGCTAAATAGAAGGTTGGGTACAAAAGGGCCGGTTGTACTGACGTTATCAGCCCATTCATTCGATGTCATCGAATCCGCTAGCCGAATTGGGATTACACAATTGCTCTGTCTCGTTTTGACGCAGTGGACAAGATAGAGTGTGTAGCTTTTTGTGTACGAGTAAAAAGATATTACAGTGGAGTTTTTGTTTCTTTCATCGTTATATGATGGGGTTTTGTTTATGTAAGTTTGTGATATAAGAAAAATTGTTGTTATGTTTTGAACGGTGTTTCTATACAATCGAGTTTATGCCGTTAGTCGCGAAGGGTAATGAGATCCACATTTGTTCTGTACAATCCATCAAATTATTTCAAAACAATGAATATTATCTGCATATTCCATCTATTACAGCAACTATTAACCAATT